TTATACGCGTCTGGATTTTCGCATTGGACTCTTTGATAATCAATCCTTCGATTAAGACGCGTCTTAAGTTCAGGTTGTCGTCGTACGAAGTTCGAAGTCCAGTTCTTGCCAACGCGTCCTGCACCCCACTCCGAGAGGATACGATTCGCCATATCTTCAACACAACGTACTCGTGGGGGAAATGATCGAGAATCTAGGTCGAGAATATGTCGTACGATAACTATTTCTTCAATCTCTGTAAGTTTTCGAGATTCAGCGATAGAATCTTGTCGTGATAGTATTCCATGAGTTCGATTAAGCAATGTCGTATAAGGTACTTTATAGATCCGCGCAACCTTCTTAACTTTTAAATGTGGGTTCTTACGAAGCGTATTTAACGCAAGAATCATATCAGACTCTGTCCAATGCTTAACCATTTTGTTTGTTAAGAAAAAACGCGCTCTGAATAAGTTTGTGGAGTGCCAAGAAAAACAATCCATTTCGCTTGGGAATCCAACTCGCTTGTGGACTACGTTATTATATATTATATTATATAATACAGTAGATTTTTTATACTATAAGTTAAGCGTAATAATAAGACTAACTTATTATAACATTTATATATAGCTATCTATAGTAAGTGACTATTTTAACTTATAAATAGTATTTCCTTAAACCCGTGTAGAGGACCTAGGTATTACTATCGGGTAGTATTAGTTTATAAAACCATATAACTTACTAAAAGATATACTTTTCATAGCGTAGTATTAAGAGTAATAATATAATATAAGTACGAATAACGCCCGAAAAGCTCGGACCACCAATTAGGCGAGGTGTAAGGGGCTCTACAAGTACGAAAAAACCTGCCGATTTAAGGCATAGACTACTACTACCTAATACTACGTTTAAATTATAAGTTTTTATTATAGTACATACAAATTTAATAGTAGAATAATATCTAATAATGTGTCATTTACGGTAAGAGATAGAGAGCTTAATTCGGGGCATTTTGAATGGTTATATTATAGAGGTAAAAAGGTGGGGTTTTGGGTAGTGGTAGTGGTAGTAGTCTGTGCCTCAAATCGTCAAGTTTTTTCGTACCTGTAGAGAGGGGGTTGATTTACTAAACACCTGGGGTTTAATATACCTGCTTCCCTTTTTTATCAATCATATATTGACAATTGTATTGATTTTTTGGTAATGCAGAAGTAAAGACGACATCGCCTAGAGACGATGGCCATTTTACGCGCTCCGCAGGATTAGATTTGAGATCTTGGCGAACCTCGAGGATTGCAAGGAATAGTTACTTGGGATGAACATATAAACTAGTTTGAATTGCTTATTCGCAGTTTTCGTATCATGCTATACATCTCAGTGTTTCAAAACCTCTGTATATATTTACCCTCTAATTCTCTTCCAACTATATAATTATTCATCAACTGCAGGCGGGGACGTCGCAACATCTACATGTTTTATCACGTGATCTGGCACTGGCATATAAGCGTTTATAGTCTAGCTAGTTACCTTCTCTTCTCTAAGTAATTAGATATTATCGAACAAGGACTGATTGTTTTATTTCCGCTTTCGATTACTCCTATGAGTACCAGGTGTATCGATAGGCGAAAAGCACTTTTCTTTTAAGTTCGAACTCTCTTGATGTACGGTAAATTATAACCACCTCAAAGAATATAATCGCAAAATCGATCGTAGTAATGTTATGATGTTATCTTACTTTATATTTCGATACCACAAGCAAAAAGAAAAGAATACGAAAAAAATAACACCATAGGCTAGTAAAAACCCCCAGCATTATAGAAACTCCAACTTAACTGCTCAATAACAACAGCCCTATACCTTTGACTCGACCTCAACTATTTACTGTAATCTTTGCAATTTAAGGATTGATCCTCCTGGCGCTTTCTCCGCCTCGAATCTGCTTCTCACGCCTCTTTCAGAGCACGCTTCTTACTGAAACCCGTCTCTGCATCGGTCATCTGCCTCATGATCTTCTTGAACATTCTAGCAACATCTCTATATTCCTTCCCGGCCACATTTTCCAGCCCGCAGTTATCGCGCGCCTTTGCAACGCCGAATGGGAATTTGCGAGCGAAATGTTCTATGTTCCTATCACGGATTCTTGTTGCTCTACCCTCGATGTCAATGGCTCGGAATATGGTATTGTAATTATTCGCGTGGGCGTGAATTCGCACCAGTTCTCCCTGTTCAACTGCCGCCCAACCTGGTTGTTCTTGATCGGTTCCTATGTTAATCCTGGTTCCAGCTTTTCCTTCTTTCATTCTTACGAGTGGCAGACGCTCGTTAAGGATAACAATACGCATTACAAGGCCACGCCACTCCACGGCTTCGTCCGCTTGCTTGTCGCAAAGTTTCAACCATCCTTCAATAAGCCTGGGGTCCGACTGGGAATTCATAAAGTGCATCGTTGTTTTGTTCAAAGTGAGAGGTGTGCTTCTTGGAGGGTCGTGTTTTGGCTCGTAATCATTGAATCTCCAAGGATTTTCAATAAGTTGCAAGTTATCCGCCCGAACCCTTCCTCTTCTTCCTGCCAAATTGGCAACTTCCACAGTATTATGTCGACGTACAGTGCGACAATCGATGACAAGCTCCCCCGGCCTCACCTCAAAGCCATCAATCGGAGACAAGGTTACCAAACCATCAGCTGCATATTTCGTTCGTCCTGGCGTGAATACCCTGAACATCCTGATTTTTTCCACCTTTGGTTCAAATTATAGTATATGGCTTTCATCATTCTCATCCCGGCACTCCGAAGGCCGGATTCCAATGAAGCTCGGAAGCTCCAATGCACAGTATCGTCCCATCTGTAGGAAGCCATTGTCGTAGTCGTCAAAAATGCGAGGGTGTTTGCGTGGCAAGATTTCATCAACGTTAAGAGACTGGTAAAGCCGAATAATCCACACTTTTCTGCCGTCTGTGACAACCTTGGATTGTCGAGGTGCCGTAAATTTCTTCCAACGGAGTAGAAAGAATAACTTGACTTTCTCCATTGTGTGACTGTCCGATTATTGCTGCTTATTCTCAGGCTTTGGGTTGGTGGGAGAATTGTTTTCATATATCAGTTTATCCGCCTGTTCATGATCTAACTGAATCTTGTTTCTCAAACAGAAGAGGGCAGGGGGTAGGGGGTGTTTTACCTCGCTTAAGACATATTGTAATCACATGACTTTAGGGTATCTAGCGAGAGCTCCAGAGTAGGGAACATAAGAGCCAGTCATATCAAGAGGGGGTTTTATAGGCACTCCAGTAACTTGATAAATTTCCATCCATTTAATAGCGCTTATATCTGATCATTCAGCCAGCTAAAACTTCTGTGGATCTTGCTTGTGGTGGTTTTCAAGACTGTGATTCACATCATGGTTCGAAATTTGACACCATCCATTCACCATCTCACTTTTTCCATCTCTATTTTATAGCTTTCACTTAAAAGTAATCAAAAATGTATCACCAAGTTCAAGACCAAGCTAAAACATACGAAGACACGAAGCCATCAAACACGCATAAGAACGTCTACAAAACAAGTCTTGGTCTGTTTCTCCCTCTTCAAAATGTCGGCAACTGGTACTTACAGTTGCTCTATTGGAACATGTCCACTTTCCCTGGCCACTGTTCAATATATACCGTCACTGTTAGGGAACGCTTTCTACCTATCCATTTTTGTACTCCTCTTTCTACTGCAAATTTATCAATTATATCTATTTCGGACCTGTTCATTCTCCATAGCCATGTTGGCAGGCTTCATCTTTGAGATAGTGGGATATATTGGAAGGGTACAGCTTCATTTCAACCCATTCCGATCAGACGCGTTTCTCACGTGAGCGCTCTACTTAATTCAGGGCTTTATCTTTCTAACAAACTTCAGATACTTTATCAATATCATGATTGCCCCAGTATTTTTTACCGTGGCCATCTACTTTGTCTTTTCACGCGTCATGGTGTTTTATGGAACGCCCCATTATCGTTTTTCTCCCAAAGACACCTTCATCATATTCACGACCTCCGACGCCATATCCCTTGTTTTGCAATGCGCAGGTGGTGTATCTTCAGTAGTTGCTGGTAGAAAGGTGGACAGTAACCATGGTATACATGTTATGCTTGTTGGGCTAATCTTTCAAACATTCAGTCTTCTGATGTTTATGGGGCTTGCCGCAGAATACGGCTGGCAAATCAGAAGAGAGCGAAGATGGCGAGTCAATGGGACACAGAACATGGGAAGCACCAAAAAGCTGCGAGGGTACGACTTGTAGTTATTGGTATGTTTACTACTATCTTATGTCATTTCTCAGGTCTAACTAGTTCTAGGACTTATGGTATCCACCATCAGCATTTTGACTCGTTCGAGTTTTCGAATCGTGGAGCTCTGGCGCGGCGTTGTGGGTACACTAGCAAATCAACAAGTTCCATTCATGCTCTTTGAGGGTGGGATCATTGTTTTGGCTTCAATAACGTTGACGATATTACATCCTGGAATTGCTTTTAGTCCCAGATGGGGAGAAGTCGGCTGGGGTTGGGGGAAGGCGAAGGAGGAAGGTAATGGTGTTATGCCTGTACCACCAGTGATTGCTCGGTCTACCGAAAACTCGAAACCTCCGCATATTGATATTGAGGGATTCGAAGAGGTCGTTTTCGACCGTAGTATCTGAATCAAGCCTGCGTGGGTGCAGTATGTGGACACCAGAGTAGAAGCTAGGTTCAGTTAAAGCATCCGCGCGATTTTATCATCCTTGAAGGGAAATCCTGTCATAACTCTTGTTTCGACTCCGGACGAGTGCTAGATGAGAAAGCTCGCCTGAACGTTCCAGTAGCTGAGAGTGTGATCAGGCGGTTTTAATCAAAAAGGGGCAAAGTCGCACGTTGAAAACGTTCGGGCGCTGTTTCATAATTGTGTTCGAAAAAAGTTAAAGCCTAGTCACTGGCCAGCCACAAAGCTTGTGGCGATAAAAGCTTTGAAGATCCTTGTTTGAAACAAGCTTATTTCTCCCAACTCGACTACAGACCCCCTTGCGTTGTTTCTAGAAAAGGCATATTTTCAGATAAATAGCGGAAGTATTTTATAGTATTAAGACCCTCGGCCTCCAATGCCCTTAACTTCAACTGGAAGACTGCATTATAGGTGGATCAAGCTTTGATATATACAAGCTGGGTTATCAAGGATTGGTGGGTTTAAAGCTTTTCTGGAAACAACGCAACTGGGTTTGTACAGTATGTACCGCCAAGCGTCAAACAGGGGCCAAACTTTATTGAGACGGAAAAGACGTCTGCATTTGTTCCTTCAGGGCACTGTTTGGAAAGGGAGATTTTAATGCTCTTGAATCGCCAGAAAGCTATACAAAAGATACAAGTCGGCTTTGAGTAGACTTATCTGGACTTTTACTAATGTCTAAATACATCTTGAATGCGTTCTTGTAGGGTAATTGTTCAGAAGTGCAAAATGAAAAGGTATGATGTGGAATTAATACGAAGTTTTCGTCCCGGTAGAGCCCAAATAGACTTTCGTCTCAATCTGGTCTGTCTCTTTGCCCATGGGAGACCATCTTCCCATGCATTAACGATTCGTAGGTTAACTTGCCTGAACAGAAATCTAGGATTCTCCAGCGTCGTGACCATACTACATAGTTCGGGCTTTGGGCACCATCATGACGAAGCTTTATTTTTGAAGAACAAAGTTTGAGAATTGAACGACCCGACTGGTTGATGCCTGATGTTGCATGCAGGACAAAGACACGGAAGTCTACACTTCGGCTATACGACGAAGACACAAATTCAATATATAAAGTCTGCCAGAACTCGCCATCAAAAAATCAATCCAAAGTGTTCATTTCCCAGTCACATATCAGTTCTTTTGTTACTTACTCTCATTGCATAGTAACCTTCTTTCTATCACTTTAAAAACTAATCACTTTTTTATCAAATTCTCCAATCTTTCATTCAAGATGCATTTCGCTTCAGGTCTTCTTCTCGCACTCGGCCTCTCATTCGTGGCTGCGACACCTGTCACTCATTCCCACTCACATGCAAGACGTGCGAACTCAAAGGCGACAGCATGCACACCAGAAATCAAAGCTCTTGTTGCTGGAATCAACAAGAATATTGATATCCAAAAACAGGAGCTTGCTCAGACCAAAGTCATTTCAGAAGCGCAAACCAAGAACCCACCAGATGCGGCAGCAATCAAGGCAGATCAAGCCAAATTGGTTGAAATCGTTAAGGAGGGTGCAGCAGTGAGAGCAAACAATCAGAAGATAGCTCCAGCTGGTAATGCGGCTCTTCCTGGTTTGGCTAAGGTAACTATTAACTCTCATTACGATTTTGAGGGAAAGTGGCTGATGACCCTTGAATAGGTTGCAAATGCTCAAGCAGGCGAACTGAAAATTGCTGAAGCATTGACTGGAAAGACTGCCACGGATGCCAAGAGCTTAGCTTCTTTGACGGAAATGTTTACTGGCGGTATTAAACAGAATCAGCAAAATGCCAAGGATGTAAATTTTTTATTCCGTTTCTTTCATTAGGCAAAACGGTCGCTGATTATGAATTTATAGGCTGCTGGTAACTGCACTACCGCATAATTCATGATTTAGTGACTCAGTAATTGTGGAGAATAAGCATATCTTATTAGACTGCTAGATGCAGACTTAGTGTTCTACATATCCAAGCTTCAATAAAGTATTTATGAAAACCTTGAACACAAGATGCGCCTTGAACTTTGTGAACCAGTCCATATCTGTGGCCTATGAATTGGAGAAATGTTTTACCGAGTACATGAACTCGATGTCCAACAAGTCATTTTCATTGATACTACGTGAACCTCTCTCACTCCCCATGGCAAGTATTTCTTAAAATAGAAAAAAGGAAGGGAAAAAACAGAGTTTTGTCAACAAAGAGCTTTCTCCTTAGCCTGGGCATACACCTCTCTTCTCTGAATAACCTAAGGACTGAAAGCAGTCCTCGGCTAACATACAAACCTAGATCCTCAAAGTTTCTCAGTCTCTTCTATCATACCAGTCAGTCTTCAGAATATCATCGGCGTCGAAAATACGTGTCAAGTGAAAATTGAAATGCATGAAAAACTGATTAGGTTGGTATTTCATTTCTCGTGAGTCCTTTACTTTGAGAGACTGCCTTATAATACCAACAAGGGAAATGAAAATAGCGCCCAAACAACCTGCTACATGTTGGGTTCCTCTACAAACAGTAATTGTAGACTCTGAATTTCGTTGGAGAATGACTTCTTGTCGTGATACTGCTATTTTGAGAATAAGAGCTTTGCTTGTATCAGCAATTAATATGGAAGACCTGGTCTCGGAGCCTGTAGTTCCCCCAAATTCAGCTGAAAGCAGGGATGTTTCAGACGGAATTTCTGGTTCGGGTTCAAGGGTTCAAGCGGTGATCGATGATCCATAACTCCAGTTTGAAAATCAAGCTGGGGATCGGTGTTCGATAATGAGGAAGAGTAGGGTAAGGTGTCTGGTTCATGGTCGAAGACGAAACTGTAAACTGAAATACATTTTGTCTCTTTGATATAGAGTTGTTTTACTGTCGATTTCTTTTTAATACATAAAAGTTTGTAGGTGTGCATATGAGTTGTGGAACAGCTTCTGATATGATCTCTTTTTCGCGATATTAGTGACAAATTATTGCAAGATAAGGTATATAGTCTATAAACACTTGATATCGTCCGAGATAGGTGTGTGCCAATCATACTGTATGGTTCTAGTTTTTCTACTAACGATTGTAATTAGGGAAGTCTAAATAGCTTAATGTGTTACAAAGAACCATACTCGATTGAGCACTACTTTGTGAGATAGATTGCGACCTGAGCGTAGATAGTACTAAGTCACACGCTCCCCTCCTAGCTGCACAAACTATTTTTATAGGTCCTGCACAGATATTGCGCAGATTTTGTCCACTTCTTGGAACGAGCTTAACCACCAAACTAATGAGCAGTCAATAAAAGTCGACAACATAATCACACTACTCGGTAGATCGTTGATAGTGCAATCCTAGACAGCGTTCGGCATCTGGAATTCCATTCCATTCCAAGACCCTCCTATGGAATATTCTATTCCAAATAGTATAAGTATTAGAATATTCCATTCTAAAGGGTGGAATATATAGAATTCCAATTGGAATTCTCACGTGACCTTATAATAGTACTTCCGGGGCGAGCGACTAATAGGAAGCCTAGTTTTAGCCCTGGTACTACTTGGATTGTTTTTCTTCGTAATTAGGGTATTATATAAAGATTTAATGCTTTAGAGTTATATATAGAAGGCGACGATAACTAATTAGGCGTAGGTAATAATATGAATCTCAGTCCTTACTTTGTTATAAAGAGGGCTCTCTTATTAGTCAAAAAGTAATATATATATATCCTTTAGAATTCTAAATTCCAAGGCCTTATCCTTTGGAATATTCCACCTTGGAATGGAATCTTAGAACCCTTGGAATCGTATTCCAAGTCATGTCATGTTCGCATGGCAGGAGGACAGTTTGATGGAGAGCGCGAGGTTGACTTGTGGGAGCCGCTAGTGAGGTATGACTTTGTGCATGTGTATGCTTGCTTGAAGGAGACAGCATTATGCTTACCTGTATTCGTTTGACATATGGTTGGGAATTAAGGTGTTTATCTTAACATGTCAACATAAGCCTCATGGTAGCACTTCAAAGTACGGAACAGGTGATCTATCAGTGACAGGATTAACGAGGGCCCGAAGGAATGAATTCCTTCAATACTGTTGTGGTTTTGACACCACGGCGACCACTTGTGGCAAAGGATTACAGACAGTGGAAGCACAGACTGATGCTTACAATAAACTTGCCTTCTGGCTAACAGAAAAGTACTGTTTTTGTAGATCCTCTTTCCATTAAGTAGCGTATGTTCAGTTTATCGTGTTTAGTCATTCTGGTTAATTAGAATGGTTAGACTGCTTGACCGAAAATTTGAAAATAATTAAGGGAATTGTTCTAAAACGATAAGAGTTTCCAGATACTGTAGACTTACATTAATACAAACAACAGGAAACTATGCCACTTTTCTTATTCAGCAGGAGGCTGCACATAGTTCCAATGAACTGAGCTCGCCAGTCCTTTATTCACGAATTATACAGCCAAAATGAGATGCGGTCACCTAATCAGGTTAGCGCCTTCGGTTAAATTCAAGTGTCACCACTTCAAGGAAGCCGCGGTCAACTCAAGAAATTCCAACCACCAACTCCCAGTACAACAATACATCAAGAGCAAGTAGATTCTTGCAGCACCTGAGCTCAAAAAAAAAAGAGAAACATAACCCAGTCTCTCCATCGAGCCCTTGGAGAATTCCCGTGTAACAGCCCCCCTGTCGCAGCGGAAAAACCCCAACCGAAATCGTCATATGACAAGTGGGTCTTGAATTTAGCACGTGATGGACTCTGAATCGGTAAGCCCGAGAAGACCAGACCTGGTTTCGAACTTGAGGCATGAGTTTAGAGCGAAAGGCTGATGAACTACGGAACTAGAGACATCACGACACTCACGCACTGCCACCTCATGCAATATGCGACCTCTACTTTCATTACCAAAAGATGTCTGACTCTGATGTGTCAAATGATGTCTCAATCGTAGATTTTAAAAGAGGTTTAACCGATACGCAAAAGGAGGTGATAGTTCCCGTAGATACGGTCTCTGCAGAGGTGATCGGTGAAGCGCAACGTGTGTTTCGAGAGAGCGGAAAGGATTTGTGCGCGAGTGGAGATATGGGGGTAGAAGTTGAAGCTTGTACAATTTATGAGCATACGAGTTTTCCAGGTACGTGAAATATCACTTAGCTTTATTCGAAAGCTGAAGCCATTGCTGATGAACCACACAGGCTTGAAATTATTCCCCAGTCTCCTCCCTCCAGAATGTCAGGTAATGATGATTTCCCGGCTCCTCCATAGAGAGCTCTCCAATCCTCTCCACAAAACAAACATCCACCATGACTACAACATCCCATATCCACCTCCATCAAAGGGATCCAGTACTGCCAACCAACCATCATCATTCTTCACCCTGCCCCAGTCCTCAAAACCAAACACCCTAACACCACTTAATCCCCATTCAAACCACAAACCGTTGAACACTGTCCAATTCCTCCAAAAGAAGCTGAGATGGCTGACTCTCGGTTCACAATATGACTGGACAACTCGTTCATATCCCGAGTCTTCGCCAACACCATTTCCTCCCGACATCGCCGAACTGGTAACGACTCTCTTTCCATCCTCCTTCACCCCAGAATCAGGCGTAGTCCTCCTGTATTCACCAAAAGACTATATGCCCGTTCACCGCGACGTATCGGAAGAATGTCAACGTGGCCTCGCATCATTTTCCCTCGGTTGCGATGGACTCTTCATAATTGCCAAGGATAAGTATCCCGGTGGTGATGAGAGAGATGAGGGGAGGGAACAAGAGATGGTTGTTTTGCGGGTGAGGAGCGGTGATGTGGTACAGATGAATGGTGAGACGAGATGGAGCTGGCATGCTATGCCGAAGGTTATGGCAAATACTTGTCCTGAATGGTTGAGCGAGTGGCCGTTTAAGGAAGGGGAGGGGGCGAGGAAGGAGTTTGAGAAATGGCGGGGATTTATGAGGGGAAAGAGACTTAATATTAGCTGTAGGCAGGTATGGGGATGAGAAGGGGTTGATAGATGCCACTAGTTTTATTATTGGGGGTTTTCTGTGGAATTAGTTAGATCTCAAAAAAACGTAGATTTATGAACACATGATATCGTTCACTTGCTGCCTAAAATTAAGGTACACACAATATCCACACGAAGTTGTCATTATACTTACATCAAGTCGTAATTCGTAGATCTATAATATGTATCTGAATCCCAGATTGTCGATCTCCGTAACATCCATCATCCCCTTTTCAATAGCCTCTTTCTCAAGGGCCTCATTTGAAGCAATGCCGGTCGCTTGTGCCTTGTCTCTTGCCTTATTAACACTCCACATATAAACATAGAGAACAATTACAGCGACTAGCTTCACCGAATAACCCACCAACATAGCGATGTATGCAGAAGGGTAATTTGCTAGGATTCTGTTAGCGAAGGAGACTCCGAGTGGTGATCTGACAAGACTTACGAGCTTCCCTTTCAAGAAATGTCTGTGGTCCACTATTCAGAATCCAGTCAGTAATTTGATCTACCTAAGGTCATTAGGAGACTGGGAGGACAAACATAATGTTGCCAACGCAATACCCTGTAAACAAAACCGCCCCAGTGAGTTGCTTCTTGGTATATCCCGCAACATTACTGCTGACCATCGTCAAACTCATACTGAATCCCAATCCCTGGAAATAACACAACCAAAGCGCCACAAGCCGTCCCCACTTGTTGTCCAACGGCAATCCAACTAACAATCCCGCGCCCAAAATGCAGACTGAGTTTGCAAATATCATAGTCAAACACCTCGTATTATTCGGCCATTTAGTACATACCCAACCCCCAGCAATAAGAGCCAGGAATTGTACCGCTCCACCTGGGATTTGCAGGTATTGCGTTCCTAGGGTGTCAAACCCAAAGGACCCAACGATGATGGAAGTCCATGACGTGAGAGCTGAGTTGGGAACTTGGGCACCTGTTGCCATGATGAACAGGATCCATGTTTTGGGGTCTTTGAAAGTTTTCCAGGCTTGGTACGTGGAAAAGTGATGGTTTTTTACTCCTTGACGGTTGGCTGCTACGCGGGCGACTGCGATGGTCCGTTCGTGAGGGGTGAGAAACTTGGTTGTTGACGGAACTTGATGAAGTCAAATCGTTTTCACATGTGGAGGCTTAGAGTTGAAGTACTTACGATCTGGGAGGAGGAGCAGTGATACAATTCCCCAAGCGATAGAGATGGATCCGAAAATCAAGAATACATACATCCAACGCGCCAAACCTGTGGTAATATGGCCTACAGCATAACCGATCAAGCCACCAAACACTGCTCAAGATTAGCCTTTTGCAGCGGAGAGAATTACAATCGGAAGGAAAAGACATGCTTGTTGCAATCCCGTTTGTGCAGTAATAGATTTCCAAGCGCAACGGTTGTTCTGCTGAGGTAAACCACATGCTCATTATGAGAACGAACCCTGGGTTGACCGTAGCTTCAATCGCCCCGAGCAGAAATCGGTTCGTAGCAATTCCTGCAAAACTCGTGCATGCTGGTGTGGTTATCAAGGCAATTCCCCATCCAATTGTAGCCAGAGAGAGGAATTTGCCGATGGGGAGGCGTTGGAGAAGATATCCAGAAGGGAATTGTGCCAAAAGATAGCCAAAGTAGAATATCGAGCCTGGTTTCAGCGTGTTAGCGTCTACTATATCCAATATTCTATTGGAGAACGAAGATGTCCGAGGAATGATTTACCTAACCACGAATAATCATGTCCTTTCAGATGCGTCCCTTGTCTCAGACCATATACACTAGCAAAATTGATTGAGTTCTTGTCCAGATATTGCAGCATATAAGTAACAAATAAAATTGGGATGATTCGAAAGTCAATCTTCCTCAAAACTCTCTTGTATTCCGCTTCATCAATTTCAATTCCCTTCCCACTTTTGTATATTGCGTAATTATCATCGAGATGCGTAGAGCTCGCTGGAGAGGCTGAAATTTCATGATCATCGTCTGAATGAGGGAGTTGAGGGGATCCTAGGTGAGATTTCTCGGCTCCGGGGACTGAAGGCATGGCAGCTACAAGTAGAGCTTTGCGACTCTTCAACCTTAGTTACAGTCCCTAAAGTTCACAGAAGAGAAATGAAAATATTCCGCACTTCAGAAATCCCACCATTCTAGAAAAATTGCAGATTTCAAAGCTACCCCTACCTTCTCGCTATATGAGTTCCCGCATCCATTTCAGCAAGGTCCGGCACCATGGTCCATGGATGATGAGTGGGCCTTACTACATGGAAATCAATGCGGCAGAACCCTCTCGCGCCACAATGACTGATTAGAGGTGGACGAGCGATGCGCAGTTGGATGTGGTTGGAGCTTGAATTATGGAGAGGGGTGAGCTTATGATGTGATGGGTGGGGTTGCTCTTTTCGGTGATGTCGTGATTTTGGGAAAGCTTGTCGTGATATATTTTGCTGTACTCGTACGACCACTCGTAGCTGTGCTTATAGCCGTGCAGACATGGAGACGAGCATCTGATTTATCGAGTATTATACAGATGATGTCACATTCAGACTTATAAAATGAAGTGTGTCACGTGCTGCAATGCTCATCAGAACCCTGGGGTTGAACTGGGGGCACTTAGACCACCAAGGCAAGAAGAAGGGTGGTTTGGATGTAATTTTATGCCGTGGGTATGAAAGAAATCCAAATAGTTAGGCTCTGTTCAGTCAGAAAATATCGGACAAAATATCGTCCTAATTAGTATGCTAAGTGTGAATTTCACTTAACTTAGTCTTATTCCGAGTACTTTAAATTAAACTCTACTCTAACTAAACACGACCTTAATATCTTGCCTTAATACCCTGTAGTCGATCCAATTATAACCTATAGAATATTACGCTAAATCGCTTTTAGTAGTATAATCGATCTGTTAGTCCTAAGTAATAAATCGACCTAATATTATACTAAGACTTATCTATACTTATACTATTCTACCTTCTTCTATACTATATCCTACTACTACTATAGATACTAACGATATTACTAAAGACGAAATTATAATACTCGGCCTAATATATATAATTCTCGAAAGCGATAATAAGTTAGAGGTACTTATTATACTACTAAAATTAGCTAAGAGACTGTGACGAAACTCAAACTATCTGACAAAGGTAATCGTTTCGACGGTTGGTATGCGGGTAAGAAGTACAGATGCGCCGGGTTGTTTACTCGGAGGCAAACTCGTCACTTGTTAACAAAGAAGTAATAACTTAATAACTAGATTGCTAAACTAAGTTGAGCACGAAGCTCCTATCTAATGGCAGACGTGCCAGTCTTATATAGAACCTTCATACTCCAGATGTCGACAATGTCGACAGTCGAGAAGTCGACCTGCATATGTCACGTGACTATAACCAATGGAAATCCTTGGATCGCTTAGCCACCCTAAGCGATCCTTACTTTGCTATAAGAAGCCTGGATGTGCCTGTCGAGGGTTGCGCCTCCTATTATGACAAGCATCACGTGAACACGTGATTCGTGACACCGGCGACGTCTAAGGAGCTATTTAATTTACGCTATACGTTTAAGAAGTACGATTAAGTATATCTTTAGTATAGTAAAGCGTAAGTTTAGAATCCTAGGCTATATTATAGAGTACTCGACTAATACGTAGATCTATCTTACTATAGGTGTTTATACCTTATATAACTTTATTCTATTCTAGGAGGGTCTAGAGTACATATTTAATAATAGTAATAGAGATATAAAAGAGATAGATTAAAGGGATAAGAAGGAAAGGATAATAGATATAATAAAGCGTATAAGTAGTAGGAAGAGTAGTATATATAAGGTAATAGACGAGCTAAGAACGATTAGTATAGCTTAAATATAAGAAGGTTATTAGGAATATTAGGTGTTGGTACGACCTGCTTGTCGTAAAGGGTGATACACAAACATAATCTCTCTTTGTATTCATTCGTGTATGAAGAGTAAAGGTAAAGAGAGGTGGTACTCTACAGACTTAAGTATGTGAGTAGCAAGCCACTCACATGACCTAAAGTATATAGGTCTACCAGGCTCTCGTACAAGGTGCTATTCACCAGAATTCTATACCGACATTAGGGTTCTTAAGTATAATAAGTAAGTAAAAACTATTTTAGTTAAGCTACTATATAAATTTATATAGTAAATATACAAATATATTTTCTAAATTCTAATAAAAAGAACTATACTAGTAAACAATTATTACTATCTCTAGCCTTATGTGTAACGAATACTCAAACTGGCTAACTAAACTTGGCTGGGTGTTCGCTGGTTGGTATGCTATGATGAGAAGAAGACTATCGGGTTGTTCACTTGGAAGTGAACTCGTTACTTGTATCAAAGATGTCAAACTAATATGATAAGATTGATAACTAAGTTGATAACTAAGTTGAGCACGAAGCTCCTATCTAATGGCAGACGTGCCAGTCTTATATAGAACCTTCATCCTCATGATCGCTTAGCTAACCTAAGCATCCCTATCTGCTATAAGTATTCTGGTAGTGCTTGACCTGATTTGATTTATTCATACTCGGTTCCAGCCGCCCGCCGTAGGGCGGCTATGCCGGAGTGGTCCAGCTTCGGCGCAGCTGCCGAAGTATGCTTACTGCATTTGGTAAGCGCACTTCACTTCATCACTATACAGTGACCAGCAGCCTCCTCCCCTGGGCGGTCTGGCTTCTATCTACAACTATATACATAGCGTAAAAGAAGTGCTTTACTTGATCTTTTGACATATATCAGGTTCCTTGGCTGCCGCTTCTGCTAGCCATCTCATGTCCTAATACCTTCAGTCTCCCCCCAGCGTTCCACTTCGTCTCTTTGTACTGTACTACAACTCCTAAATTGCCCAAGGAGTTGCGTCTGTTCCATAAATCTTATTACCTTTGTGGCTGTTTTTGACTCTTTCAAGATTGCCTTCAGGTCTAACCACCTCCTCCCTCCAACTTCCCTCTGTCGTAGGTCTTTGAATTTTCGACATCGTAATACAATATTTCCTACAGTTTGTCGTCCCTCTCCACATTCACATCCTGGATCATCATATCCGGGTACGTTCCTCTTCCAGAGGAAGTCTCTTAGTCCTATCTTTTCTGTGCGCATCTGGATCAATAGAGAGCTTTGCCATTTCTTTAGCCTCCGATGGAGATGCAGGATCTTGTGTGTCGGCTTCTGAGTGTATTTGTATGTGGTTCTCCCACTTGGTTCCAGGTCCCACTTGTATTTCTACATCTGTCAGGACGCCGCCTGGTCTTCGCTAACCACGTGCTAACACGTGATTCGTGACATTATGTGACAGACGTGCTTCAGGTAGAACTCAGAACAATTAACACTCTATTCTTAGGACAAAAGACGAGGAAAGAAGGAGAGCTCTAGTGAGCTGGGAACTAAATACAGGTCGTGCGCGCTAGCGCCTCGCTAAGCGAGCATGTGACATCCAGCCCTCGTGACCATAACCGTCACACCTTATCTTACTCTATATCTACTAACTAGTTAAATACTTTAGTACTAATCTTATATCTTAGGAACATATCTCTTAATACTCTTAGACGTCTTCTAAGGTATTTAATTATAACGTGGTTTATCAGCGAGTCGATCATATCACCGAGTCGATCACTTTTCCTTGGCACTACCTCCTCAAACTTCAACACACGTTTTCTTCAACTATTTACCATGGAAATTCAAACTCAAGAAGCGCGAATTACTCTAGCTATCGAGGCTATTCGGTCGTCCAAAAAACTAAGCAAACGCTCTGCGGCAAAGATCTACAATGTACCATATACGACTCTTTCCGACAGAATGGCTGGCCGAACCTACCGCCCAGATTCTCAAGCCAATTGTCATAAGTTGACTGAGTTAGAAGAGGAAGTGATTATTCGGTATATACTGGATATGGATTCCAGAGGATTTGCGCCCCGGCTCGCTGGTGTAGAAGATATGGCTAATTTTATCCTTGAATCGCGGGGGGGAAGACGCGTCGGCAAGCTCTGGGCCCATCGATTCGTACAACGACAACCAGACCTTAAGACGCGTTTTAATCGCGTTTACGACTTCCAGAGGGCCTTATGCGAAGATCCTGACGTGCTAGGCGCATGGTTCCGGCTAGTAGAGAATATGAGGGCGAAATATGGGGTTACAGACTCCGACTTCTACAACTTCGACGAGACAGGCTTTATGATGGGTGTTATTTGTCCTAGAATGGTTGTTACTCGTGCAGACCGACGTGGTAGAGGCAAGGCAGTTCAGCCAGGCAATCGGGAATGGGCTACAGCAATTGCCTGTATTAATGGGGAGGGCTGGAGTATTCCTCCATTCTTGGTAGTTCAGGGCAAGAACCATCTCTCCAACTGGTATACCGACGGCGGCCTCCCACCTAACTGGGTTATGAAACCGACAAGCAATGGTTGGACAAATAATGAAACAGGCCTGGAATGGTTAAAGCACTTTGATAAACACACTACAGCTCGTGCAAAGGGTCTGTATCGAATACTAGTTTTGGATGGGCACGAGAGTCATGAATCGGCTGAGTTCCAAGACTACTGTACGAAACACAACATTATTACTCTTGGACTACCTCCTCATTCATCCCATCTAACCCAGCCACTTGATGTTGGGTGCTATAGTGTGTTAAAACGAGCGTATGGTCGGCAGATTGAGACGTTTATCAAGGCCCATATCAACCATATTACAAAGGTTGAGTTCTTTCTAGCCTTTACAGCAGCATACAAGGAAACAATGACAGTCCTAAACTGTCAGTCTGGATTCCGCGGAGCTGGCCTAGTACCATTTAACCCGCAAGCAGTGCTTTCAAAGCTTGACGTAAGGTTACGGACTCCAACTCCCCCTCGGACGTGTAGTGCCAACTCCCTCCCCTGGGTGTCCCAGACCCCTTCCAACCCAACTGAAGCCCTTTCACAATCAACTCTTGTACGAAATCGTATAGCCTGTCATCAAGGAAGCTCGCCAACTCCACTTTTTCAAACAGTTGCTGCGTTAGCAAAGGGTACAGAGCGAATGGCACATGAGATGACCCTTTTGTCTGCTGAGGTCCGTACCCTTCGCGCTGCAAATGAAGCCCTAAGTAAACGCCGTAGGGCTAAAAAGACTCGTGTCCGCCAAGGAGGGGCACTTATAGTAGAGGATGTACAGGATATGTTAGCTCAGGAGGATGTAGATGAGCAAGTACGACGCGACATGCGTGAGGCGGGGGTTGGTTATAAGGAGGGGCAACCTTCTAGGCGGCGCTGTAGAACTTGTGGAAAAGCTGGTCATAACGCGCGAACTTGTCAAGAAGTTATAGATATATCTAGTTCGTCAGATATAGAGAGCGATAATTAATTTAATATATTGTGGTTGATTTATTTAGGTGTAAAGTTCTGTGCCAAGAAAAAGTGATCGACTCGGTGATATGATCGACTCGCTGATAAACCACTTTATACCTTTTTTTTCCTAATTATATACTAAATCCTAGTTATTAAGTATTATATAAGGCTATAGTTAATCCTATCCGAACTCTACTATAGCTTATTTAGAAGTAGTTCTATAACCCTCTACTAATTAATTTACTATAATAGTAAGAGATAATATTATGCTAGTATTATAAAATCGAGATTTTAATAAAGAATCTTATCTAGAAGTAATATCTATATTATCTAATTATTATCTATAATAATAAGTCGATACTAGAATAGCTAGTTCTACCTAGGATCTTGTCACGGATGCCAACAAAGGATAAAGTGTATACAGCTTTTGAATCAATTGCTAGAACTAAAACCGTAGGTACGAAGAAATCAAACTAAAGAGAGAAGAGAATCTGAAAGGAGCGAAGTTATTTAAGTTGTTCCAATGCCAAGTCTCGTCACGTGCTTGGCCAAGCGAATGAAATCCTGTCAAATGAAATCCAGCTCCGTCACAGATCTTTTAAGAGATATTACCCCGCCTTTAGTTATAATTATATTATTAAATAACTTTTTTAGAATATCTATATATAAAAGAGAGTTATTTTTATACTATCTATATAAAGGTTAGACCTAAGTAAAATTAGGTAGATTCTAGAGTATAATAAATAAATTATACTAACTTTAATAATATCTTTCTAGGCTTATTTACTTATAGTTACTAATTGTTTCTTATAATCTTACCTAAATCTTAACTATCTTGATAAGAAGCGAAAATCCTTGTATTAACCTTTAAAAGTACTCTCCTTCGACTTATACTTTAGGATAGTTATATCTATTAGATTACTACTATAAAGTACTTATAATAGTAGTATTATTATTATATTCTATACCTTAGTCTTCTAACTATTATCAGCTCTTTTACCTACTCTTAGCGACTCTAATAGTCGGCTATCTCCTTAGTCTAATTTAATTAGTATACTAGCTCTTTTTTAGGAGTTTTAGGTATAATATCTACTAGTTTCGAGATAATAATAAGTACTAGTATAAGGGTAGGTATAGGGGTTTTAGAGTAGCTAGAATAGGTATAATTAGCTATACTAGTAGTATAAATTCGCTAATAACTTCTATATTAGTACTAAAAATAACTCCCTAGCTTAAAGCTTATAATATAATATCTATAAGGTAGAATTAACCGTTTAGATCTAGTATATACGAAGGTTCTAGTAAAGCGGATAATATATTACTAATTATTATAATTAAAGTACCCGGAATCGAGTTTATAATCGATTTAACTATACTTTTTAAGAGAGTAGTTTATTAAGTTCGTTTTTAGTAGTATTTTAGATAAAAATAAAGATAAAATAATTATAAGTTAACTTCTTAATATCTTATAGGAAAACAAGTATAATCTATAGGATTTTATACTAATAATATCTATATACTACTTTTTTTACTACTTAAAACAATCTAATAATACCCTAATTAAATATAGATATATCTATAATCTAATAACTAAATAACTTAGTTTCGCTAACTATCCCTTCGATTATTCTAACTCTTTTCTTTAAATTACTAAAATCGTACTAAAAATTAATAATATAACAAAAGGCAGGGAATAGACTAGGGGTAACTTAGTATAAGGACAAAAGTATACTATACCTGTTTCGGACAATATTTAGCCTTTAAATTAAGTAGATACTTAACTCCTGACCCACACGATTTAGAGGCTAAATATCGTCTCGATTAGGCGTGGTTTTATCGATATTCCTTAGCGATATAATCTAACTGAACAGAGCCTTAGAGGCCTGCCTTCTGAAAAACATCGTCATGTGACATCTAAGCGATAAATCATACCCACCTCTTAGTCAAATCCAATCCATGGGCAGTACTTGAGAAAGAAACTGGAATTACTTTTTGCTCTTGTCTTATTCTCTTTGTGCTGGTCAGAAGGTGTAAGAGTGTAAGCTCTGGATTATACACTCTCTCTTATCTAAACCTCCTGCTCTTTTTTCTCTACCGGTTTGAAAAGCTAGGTTAACTACCAAGACTCAATATAGATTCCTAGCTTTAGCTGTCTATGGGCCAAATATTATATATGATTAACTTTGGTTACTAATTTCAATCATAAACAGTCGAAGAAGAAAAAAGCTTATTTTTAAGTATCGATCTGTACAGATAATGTAAGCTATATGGTCTAGCTACTATCTAATACTTCACATTTGTATGCCACTGTCAACTTTTCTCTTCATCCTACGCAGCATCCTCCTCGTCATCTGAACTATCGTATGATACATCGTCATCCTCTCCACTTGTACTTTCATAGTCCCAAGGCCGCTCAATTTCATCGTCCGCGTCAGGTTCTCGCGAATCAGGCGGATCATAATCAAACAGCCCTCTGTTCTTTCTCCTCACACTGAACTTGACTGACAAAGTATCATTGCCTGTCGCATATCCCAGGCCTCTGAATCCTGTCAGTTCTCTTCCGATGACGTATCTTCTCTCCTGCTCTTTCTGTCTCCTGTACTGTCTGAATTGGGCCATCTCTATCCCCACTCGCCTCGGAAATTCACCGAAGTGATCGATCTAATATATCACAGTCCGTCAATTAGCCAACAATTCATGTAAACTTTCCATAGATCTGGTTATGCGCTGGTGTTTAGAGTTGGAATGGAATGCCGGGCAACACCTAAAACAACAATGCAAATGCAAGAAAGTTTTATGGTAGTACAACTCACCCAATTGTCACTCAAATCAATAGCTTCCGCGTCTGCTGCCGCCGTTCTCTGGTCAAACAAGTTGAGCGAAGGGCTTGCCTGCTAGATTTCCAGTTTGAGGCACGCTTAGTTCCGGTGAGATACCGACAAGCTCGTTCATTCCCGCTTGCCAGTTAATTACAGGAGTATATCTTAGGGGACATATGTTGTTAACAGGGCAATCCTCGGGTGAAGAATCCCACCATCTTTGAAGACATCGCTGGTGAAACAAGTGCCCAGCTTGGCAATCTAGACTGGCGAGGAGCTCGTCCCGTTCGAGAGAAAAGCCGCAAACTGAACACGTCTTCTTATTTTCATTGTCAAGTATCGTATCCATATCGTGAAGTCCAATTGGGTGGACGTGGAAAAGTCCCGCGAAGATATTTGTCTTGCGTGAGGGGCTATTTGGACTGAATCGATCGGTTTCTTGCAATTGGGAGAGCTGCCTTATCTACCAATGATCCGAATCAGCGAGTATCTTATGAAGTATGCAACACGTGCATGTGGCATTCTGAAGGCTAGCAAAGGCGACTTGAGAACATCACAGATTTAATTGGAAGAGTGAATGGGAGCAGGGACTTACACGAGCGTGAAATTCGTCGATTGCTTCGCGAAAGGCTCTGAAGTTTCCAGTATCCGTGGTGTCAAATACTTAAGATGATGTAAGAAACCATTCACTCGTCACAAAACTGCTGGTGCGGATCTGCAGCCTGCTTTCCAATCGATGATGCCTCACGGAAAAAGGTGAGGTTAAGAATATAGACAATAACATACCATAGTAAAGTTGTTTGATTGTTTTCCTCCCACTCCAATCTCTCAAGAGAAGGTTGTTACTTCTCAACAAATTCAACTGGTCCATCCATCCAAGCATCGCCGTACACCGGCCGGAAATATTTATGCTTTTAAGGTTGCGAAGTTCGTCAGGCCAGTAAGCATCGTGCAAAGGTTCATACGTGCCGGGTTGAGAGTCCCATTCGCTGAGGATTTCATGCATCTGCCACCATTCATCGGCCAATACGATTTTTCTTTCCATCAAGACACCCTCGACGTGCTCAACTCTCATACGCTTGTGGTAATTCTGTGCGATAAGGTCGAGGTCGGTATATAGCCTATAAAGGGAAATTGTTAGGATTTTATTGTCCTCTTAAGTGAGGGGGTTAGGGGTGTTGACTTACTCCAATTGGCGGGCCGTGCTCGTATCCAGGAAGACCTACAGTTCCATATCAGTACAACGGTCACTTTACCAGTACTACATTCTGCCGCTTTCACAAAATGAAAACTGAGACCAACCTCGGAAATAGCCTTTGCGACAAGATCTTCGAAAATGCCCACCGGTGGTCTGGGCCCTTGGTGTTTTGGATCTAGCGAAAATCCGTACCATTCTCTTTATTGTAGTTGTCCAACTTTTTAAAAACAAGATCTGCCAAATCCCGTATTGATTTCTGCGCATCATCTAGCGAAGACTTGATTCCATAGAGAGGTTCGTTCCGCTGGTTCCTCCCAATAGGTGCCTGTTTACTGACTTCCCTGTAATATGTATTGGTCGAGATTTTCAAAAGATCGAGAAGCTGTTCCTTGCCAAACTCAACATCACCCATACTAAGAGAGCGATAGTGTAGAAGCCGTATCCAAACTCGTAAGATAACCCAAGCAATTTTGAGATCATCATTGAAGATGTTAACGTCCCTAACATCCTCTTCGACATTAACGGGCTCTTCTGGCTCGGGGTTGCGGAGATCTGCAAAACGACGGCTTAGCGTCAGGAAATCGATGAGCTTCATTCGCCGGGAAATGATCATCATTGATTTATAGCTGAGTGGTGTATCCCTTTTTCTCAGATCAAGGACATATTGAAGAAAGGGTTTGACGGTTTTATCAAGTACGTTAGCGAATTCATTTCGTGCCACATTTGCTTTATTGTCTTGTAGCAATCCTCCCACATCCTTGTTGATCATTTCAATTAGCATATAAACAAAAGTGACTTTTGTTTTTGAATATAGACTCACTTCTGGATGCTTTGTGAAATCTTCAGAAACGTATAGAGGAGGTTCCTCCGTCAACTTTTCGAACTTCTTCCCCCAGGCACCCGGACCAATAGGCCGTTCTTTACAGATGGCACCGAGTAGATCAATAACAACTCCATAATCCATCCCATCCCAAGTCGATCCAGTTGACGTTATTCCTTGCTTGGGATCACGAAGCAGGTCTTCTAGTAGTGCCTTTTCACTCGATAGCTCCTCTGACTGTATCGTACGTAATTTCCGTTGTCTATCTGCCAGATACTCACGCACGTCTTTATCGGTAATATTTCCCACCCAAGCTTCGGGTTCCCTCTCTTCCCCATCTTCCCCTTCTTCCATATACTCTACAAACTCGTTCCAAGCTTCATTGAAGCCCTCCAACTCCTCGAAAGCAGATTCACTATTTATCTCATCGTCGTCGACTTCGGACATTGTAACATCGTCCGCCATAATGTTAGTTTCTCACTTTCCCTTTCTGGGAGGTTCGTATGGGTTGAATGTAGCCGTAACCACGGCAGGGCAAATTTTCTTTCGGAGGTCGAGAAAAAAAATGACGCCTTCGAAAGAAAATGATGGTGAGTACCCATATCATCCATCGCCTTTAACGCCTTTGTTCTATCCCAAGAACCTAATCCGGTTATCGCATTCTACGGATCAATGATCTGCCCTTTGTGGTAATTCTTTGCGTGAAACACAATGTAGTGCCCAATTTGGAGTATAAAGGGCAATTTTCTTTCCTAAGATGTATTTAACTGAAAAATAGGCCAACCATATATGTTCAATCCACGTGTCACGTGTAAGTCACGTGTAAGCTGATTCTGCTGTGGACCACTCGCCTAAGCTCTAGTACAGGCGCACTAGTCTATATATACTTGAGCTCTCTCACTACTTATTAAGCAAGCTTCATATGCACAGCACAATAAACACTTCTATACTCTTAATTCTCTCTTGCACTCGCACACTTCGTAATCACATTTACTGTCTCTAGTGTAACGCAAGAGAATCTCATACCAAACATTCACCATGGGCAACAATTTCAAGAGAGTGTACTTAATTGTGGCAAAATAATCACGTGATAACAATAATGGTCCTGCCTAGGTAGCCTGGAGGAGTAGCTGGCATTCAACAGACATGAACAAGACAAAGCAGAGTAAAGGGGCAAGAATGATTGAGAGATACTTAGCAAGAGATGTTGGGATGAAGGCCAAGAAAGTTTAATTCCGCTCTACTGTAAGTAAGATGTGTTTATATGGATTGTTAGCACCAGCTAAGACTGATCTATATACTTTGGGGTTACTACTGCTTATCCCCAACGGAAAGATAATTTTCCATACTCTTTTAGTCTTTTACTATTAATGATAAGCCAAGGTTATTACTTGAGCCCAGCTTAGCTGTCGCTCGGGGGACTCGCTTTACAGTTCTGTCTCACCTTTTATTCATCATCATTGCAAATTTCGGAAATTTCATAGTATTAATAGAAAAGCGAACAATCTAAAAACCCCTCCAACATTCCCCTAAATCCCCCAACAGAACAGTTCAACTGACAAGAAATTCAAAGTAACCAACTCCTAGTAACACCGCTTCATAATCATGCGAAGACACGGGGGGCATCCTCGAGCAGCTGCCTCAGGTCCTAGGTTATTTGAAAAGGGGGATTCCAAATGAAACCTCCAGCCTTCTTTAAATTGGGTAACTGCATCATCGTATCTGAAGTACCAGGACAAATGGTGATTTGGCCTACTGGTCATAGGGAACAAGGCGCTGCAGTCACCTTCCGTTCCTACTGTGCTCGTGTCTTCTTCTTTTTCTCCATCAACACAAACGGCAGCTTTCATTCCTGGAAAGTTTTCGACGCAAAACGATAGAAGATATAACCGTGAGACCAGCTGGACCACTTACCTACATACTTGATGTTAGTCGTAATCGCATCTGGTAGCAAGTGGACGAAGGCTGAGGTATTGTGGGAAAAGAGTAAAACGTCTTTCTCTAGATCAACCTTGATGTATCTCAGATTTGAGAACGGGTTGTTCATCCCTCTGCTGGATACAGGAATTTTGGTCAACCTCTTGTTATAAGCCCACCGAGAGTCCTTACAGACTACTCCCAGGCTAAATGGTATTGTGTGGCCGCCAACGAGAAAGTAATCACCGCCACGTGCGAGGACGTTGATTGCTCGAGCTGGGAGGTTATCAATTGCGAAATTCCAAACCATGATTTGATGTTCGAGCGGAAGTTGCAAAATTTGTTGAAGGCACTCAATTTGGCTGGTTTCTTTTTCTTCTGACATCCAATATTCTTCACCTCGAGCGCCTCTTTGGGTGGTTGGCTGGGCGGTGCGGATAGGTCAGAGCTATCCTAAATTTCGAAAAACTTGGCGAAGTACTTGCCCCCCACATCTCCGGACGTTGGTTTCTTCGATTTCTCTGCTTTCTTAGGCAATCCTTTTTGATCACCTCAGGTTCCTTGTGTGCTGGACTTCGTGGGATAGTTGGACTGACTGTAGCGAGCTCGAGCTCGGTCTTCAAAGACTCAATGGCACTGGTTACTACGCCGGGCGAAGTCCTGTTGGGTTCCTCGCTCGCTGATTTTCTTGGGCCTGTGGTGTATTCCTTCTTTTCGACCCGAAATCTCCCCTCGAGATCATTCAGTCTGCGAGCTCTAGCTTTCTTTTTCTTTTGGCTACGTGAGTATTGTCGCGTGCCCTTAAGCTCCTTGATCTTGTTCCTAATCCACCGGCGCCCCATTTTGACAAGTCTAGGGTTAGGGACTGAATGTAACCTCTCATACAAGTGCTTATCTCAAGTCTGGTCTAACTCTAGCTCTCAACTGATGGTTTTCTTGTTCAACGTTCTTTGTAAGTTTGATGCATACAATTAGATTCTCAGAACAAAAATGGTGACAGACGTCGATTTCTAGTGTCCTTCTCCATGTCAGTACTTGATTCTTGCTTTTGTTGCAAGAGCTTGAAATATGATGAAAGCAGAAGCTCACCTAATATGTTTGCTTGTCGTATGTAGAACACTAAAGTGCAGGTTGCGAATCCTATAGTTACGATATCCACAATATATATTGTGTCCATGCCCCAAACAGTCAGTGGTTGTTTTCCGATGAGACTTGATCGTAACTGTTCGTTTTTGGTGGGATTTAATAAATGGGAAAGTGGGATCGTACCCAGATAGGGGACTTGTTATATAACAGTATGGGCTAAGGCTGGTCTGCCTTGGGCTCAAAGAAAAGACTAAACCAAACGATTCACTTGACACTTTCCTAGATAAGGGCACTCGCAACTTTGAGTACCATGAAATCTTGGTCCTAAGAGCGTTCTTGTAACTTCACTGTAGAAATGTACTAGGTTCAAATCGCCTATGAATCAAAGTTCGTCATGGGCAAATTTTAAAGGGTAAGAGTCACCTTTTCATGGTGAATTGTGTCCTGTATAATAGCCTGCACAAGCCATGGCAATGGCTATTTGTTCTGAGGTTTACTGTATCTATCTGTCGCTCATACACATTCATTGTCGTGCAAGTCTGAAAAGAGCCATCAGGACCTTTGTCTTGGAACCTTACATATTCAGGGCCAACATCTCCTTCTCAAACACGATCTTCCGATTAAGAAGCAAACGCAAACACCATCCACCATTTCGTTATCCACATTGATCACTACATAACACGATGTCGGAACTCCTCACCACCTTTCGCCTTTTCTCTCAACTACCGTTCGATATCAGACTGTTGATTTGGGAAGAAGCCATTGAAGCACTCCCCGGAAGAATCATCCTCCTCCATTATGAGAGCTATACACCACCTCTGGCTCATCCCCGTGGTTACGGACACACTCTTCAATCCAAGCCCAATCTCTACTATGCTTGTCGAGAATCCAAGAAAGTATACGATGCATATCAAGCCCAAAAACGATCAGGAAATTCTGCATTATTTGTCGGAGCTCCACTTTCAGGAGATGGGCGTTCGGAATTTTATCAAGGTTTCCCACCTGTCTCCTTAACGATACCCATGAATTTTGCAAAAGACATCCTGATATTTCCCCGCGCAGATGACGACGTACTCGAGGAATTGGTCCGACTCATCGGATCAGAAAACCGCGACAAGATACGACACATTGGGAGCCTTGTTGGCCATAATCTAGATGCTCAATTCGACACATATTTCGATTTGGTTGATCTCCAAATATCCTTCAAAAATCTAGAGACCAGTTCAGCTGTAATTGATATCGAATGCATGCAAGACGCAACACTGAAGTCAGCCTTGGCTGAGAACGCCCATACGTTGGTACCAGTTACGGGTCTTCTTCCGGACACAATGGAACGTTTACGTAAATTTTATTCGATCATGGATATGCGCCAACTGGAAGAACAGCAATTGCATCAACATCTTCCTTCCTCCACAGCTACTAGGCTGGTGAAGATTGAGCCCATGCTGATGAAGACATTCTAATACATTCGATATGAGTGGGGATTGATCATAAGGTGAATGGCCTCGATGTTTACTAGCCACCACTATTTAGGAGGAACCTCGGCCTTTATTGTGGTTTTCGCGATTCCTTGGGGTTGGATGCTACAGGAACTCAAACCGATCCAGAGAGAACAGAATGAGGTTCTTTGTGAACTACTCATTGCCATTTTTGCACTCGTATCGCTTTGAAATACACCGTATCCTCTCTCAAACACAGTAGCAGAAAATAGGTCAGGAAACTATCACCAGTATGTAGTTTTAGCGGTATGATAATATCTATAACACTATATTATCTCTGAATTGCAAATCGGTGACACACTTGACTTTTATACGCTCTGGTCGCAAACCCATCTGTAAATCATTTCAAATAAAGCTGTGAACTCTTTTCCCAAATGAAGTTTGAATCTTAGAGTTAGTTGGCTTCCTATGTTAGTGACACTGTTTAATCTGAGAGAGCCTGAGTGGTAGGTGGCATGAGCCAATTCGGACCTGGAAGTAATCCCCTTACGGTTACACGTCAGTTACACGTCATGCTTCCATGGGCCGCATCTTGGGCCTGAATCAATGAGAACTTGATTTCCTACAGTGGTGATATACGAGGATAAGGTACCAGTTGCAACAAACGCCAGTAGGTGAAGGAGCCCAATCAAAGCCAAAGGTAAGGACTCTCAAAGAGCAAGAGCAAGAGGGGAGATCAATCTCCAGTACCACCAGATATTCGTAACTTGCCAGACAGTCTTGACATCAGAACTGGTATTGCGTAGTGTAGCTTGCTGCTGATAGTACAGTCCGTCCTTGGGTTGTTTGGAAGTCCTGAGTTGGTGTATGATAAAGCATATTATGCTCCGTGATTGGCCACCAGCAAGCTGTTGGAAGTCTTATTAGTATATATTATGGTCTTACTAACTCCTGGAAGAGAGTCAAAAAAATTTAAAAAGGGTAGTCTTGTTGTTTTGTTTGAACAAGCCTGAATGAACACTGCAAGTGCTGAAATAAGTACAGCGCTATTCATCTTAAAAAGTGTCAGAGTCGATTTGTTAACGCCGTCTTTCGACCAATCATTCCAGAATCCTTCAAAGATGGTTATATTTGATGAGATTCTCACGGGGCTCCTTAATTCTTTAGGTGTCTTTGATAGTGTTAGCATCAGCTTAGAAACACATCTTCAACACAATTGATGAGGTTGATATACCCTATGATTCTTAGGACTGGATCAGCAATCAACGACAAATAGTGATATGCGTAGGCTTGTATTCTCGAATCAGAAGACAAATCGCGATGATTTTAGAATATTGAAGAGCACCCAGTATGACACAGAAACTGCAGCTTATGAGATTCAAGGAAACAGTGACTCCCCTTTCAACTTAGACGAAGCAGTTTGTACACAGCAGCGATCAGCCTTTCGCTGGTTGTAACAACCGATCTGTGTAGCATACACGAAGCCTTAACTCAGAGTGCTCACCCATCACAAAATCCCTCGTTCTATAATGATATACACATCAGTATCAGTGAGGCAAGAACATTAAGCCTGATTGCAAGTTAATTGTGTTACTAACGTTGTACTGGTATAAGAATTCTCCAAGAGCAATGCAAGGTGCCTATGGTTCCGCCAAGAGCTTTCTAGCCCCCAACTACAATGCTATGCGATCGCACACTATCACCACATGATGGCTGAGAGAGGCTATTGTCACATTCATTGAATTGGTTTCCGTACCTCACATTTCTGCTATAACTATTAGGTTAATTACCATACTAAAAATGGCCCACTTTTAGCCTGATCGAAATGTATGATGAAATTACATCTTTCTGTAGAGCATATACGAGTACGATTACATACTACTACTCTCTATAACGTACTTCATAAGGAGTCCGGATTTATAAGCAGTCCGGATTTTTTACCCCACCATCCAACTTTTAAAAACCATAGAACTTTAACCACTTAATATTTATTTATATAAACTATACTATCTTTCTTATTCTCGATCTGGGCACCCAGGAGCAGTATGCGCTAGTGATCTACATATACTACAGGTTCGTGGTGCACGAATTCGTGGTTCAATTAGCGGGGCCACAGCTTCATCCAAAACCATATTATCACTATTTTGAATAAGTTCCCTCCCTTCCTGACCTGTAAGAACACCCCCAGTAGCAATATATTGACGTCGCACAGTCTTCTTCTTCTTTTGACGTTCAGATTCAGCTCGTAAACGTCGATTTTCCTCTGCCAAAACCGTAGCTGATTGCATAGCCATCTTACACCCTTTAACCAATTGATCTAATGCAATAGCAGTAGGGCTTGAGAGAACGTTTGTACGTCGTTTAATAGATGCTTTAATTGTCTGGGTTTGCTGATCTGCCTCATATGTATTATGGGGTGTCTCAGGGACCCAAGGTAGTAGGTTTGGAGAAAGTAAAGGAGGAGTAGGCGTATGTAATTGAGTATGTAATTTACTCAATACTTGATCTGGGTTGTACGGGACAAGGCCAGTAGTTGCGAATCCATTACAGATTGTGTTTTTGACCATAGTACTTGTACGTGCTACACGATATATTGAAAGGAAGTCTGGTTTATCGATATGATATGTGCCGGCTCGTACTAGCTCCTCGACTCCTCGTCCATAAAGTCGCTTTAAAACTGCAAAGTAACTAACATCTAATGGCTGTAAAAGATGAGATGAGTGCGGTGGCATACAAAGCGTTATGATGTTATGTTCTGAACAGAAAAGGTCGAATTCGGGAGTAGAATGACTACCATGGCCATCGAGGATTAAAAGTCGATATACTCCTTTTACACGGTCCTTGGTATATTTCTCAAATACGTCTGAAAGCCACTTGAGACCTAAGGAATCATTGGTCCACCCTTTATCACCAAGTGCAATTGTCCAATCTGCTGGTAATTGATCTGTATACCAAGTCGATATATACACCTTGCCCTCAAATACCCATGCATCTGCACAAATTGATTCGACAACTGTAAGCCATTCGCGATTCCCTGGTTGTATATGAATAGCCCGTCCTGTATATTCTGACCCTCTAACAACTTTTGCGGTCGCAATTACTCCCATCTGAAAGCCAGTCTCGTCGAAATTGTATATATCCTCCGCTAGTATACCATATTTCGCAACAATATTATGTACTAATCGAAACCAATCTCGGATAATCATAGGATCCTCGCATTTTGCGCGCTTATAGTCGTATTTACGAGTGTATTTCGTCCGTAAAGAGTCGTGGCGCTTTATAAAGTTGTCAACCCAGCATTTTCCGACAATAATTCGACCTACTTCAGTTCGCTTTTCCAGTAGTAAATCGGCCATTTGGCGTATCGAATCTTTCCGTACTGGCAGACCTCTAGCTTCCATTGATAAAATCCATTGTATAAGTGCTGATTCCTCGAGGTCGGTGAGTTTCTGGTTTCGGGGTCGGAAATCGCGTTGTGGAATAGCTCCTTTGACGCTGTCGTAAGTAGTAGAATATGGCGCATCGTACCTTGTACAAGCTGCTTTTAAGCTTGTAAATTGACCCTTATTGTATGCACTGATTGCAAGAGCAATTTGACCTTCTTTTCGAGACATTTGAACAATAATTGGGTAAGTTATGTAGATTGAAAGTGTGTAGGGTGGTCAATGGTGGGGTAAAAAATCCGGGCTGCTTATAAATCCGGACTCCTTATGAAGTACGTTACCAAAGAGAATTCCCAAATTTCCGGTTAACTAAATCCCACTAATATATAGCGGAGTTAGTGGCGCGCAATTACGACTCGCATTTGTCACTCACGCGAGCCATTAATATATAGATGGCTTCGTCTCGAGACCTTAAGCGAGTCGCTTAGATTCCAGGAAAATTATCAAGAGTGAGCTAGCTACACGAGCGCAAAGTGACTAGACAGAAGCTCTGAAGCTCAGCCCATGAGCTAGTGTTAAGATACAAGCGATACAAGCGATACAGCCTACAGGACAAACTCAGCCAACGCCATAATTCAAACCCTATGAACTCAGCCACTTATCATTCCACTACTCAGGTATTCTTTATATCCACCTAAGATGTACAGCGTTCTTACAGTACTTGGAAACCACCTACAGATACAGTCTCTCACACCTCATTTAATTCAACTTTACTCACATCACACATGCAAAAAAGGTGATCACAAACCGCTAAAGTGTGAATGCTCATGTATTTTCATCTCCTATCAAGTAAGCAAGCAAGCAAGCAAGCAGGTAAGCAAAGCCTATCATCTCAACCTCTCTCAGGTCGTCATCACACTAATATGTAATTACGGTTTGTCTCTTAGTATGCGCCATACCCATTCCCCCTTCCTTTTCCATTTCCATTTGGGAAAACTAAGAAGCAATTCCGCATACCAATCAAGCTTGCCCCCACAAAGCAGTAGAGAGAAAAGACAAAGAAGCATGGAGAAGGAAAAAAGTTGGTCTAGGAAAAGCACTGCAAAGTCCGCAAACGACGAATACCACCCCCCCCCAATTTTCGTATCTCATCAAGGAAGAAAAAAGAAGCCCGCAATGTCCATCGCAAGATGAGAACATGGGGAAGAAAAAATGATCATCCCAATAATACACAATGGCCCTCATGAGAATGATCAATGGCAAAAGGCGCAGCAATAATATGCATCAAAAGTAATGAAGTCGTCTCTCAATCAACATTTCATCGTCGTCTCATCGTGCAATGCGCGCTGAAGTAGAAAAGAAGAAAATTTTTGGCGAAGAAACAAAATATGCTGATCGTTCGATTGCTTGAGAAAGAAATGTATGTGCAAGGTTAACTTGGGGTGGTGTAACGTCATGTGTGAGGGGCGTGACTTGAGAAAAGACTAAGCATCATCTCGTCGGTCTCTTTTGGATCGATCATTCCATCTCCGCTTGCCAACTCGGGTCTCAAAGTGTGGTGCAGTCGCAATGTCTTTGCTGGTACTTTCCATCGTGGAACGTACTTTGTTGCGATACGAGTCCACTGCTCCAACGTCAGTACCCGGCTGGGGAATTACTGGGAACAACTAGGAAAACTTACAAGCTTTCTGAAGGAAAACGGTCTTGTCTGCAAACACTCTGCTCTGGTGCCATGTCATTCGATATCCCAAATCATTCAATCGAACTTCCTTGGACCGGACACTGGCTTTCATTTTTGGGACTTCGACTTCTCCCTCACCACCATCGGCCAACGGCACAGTAACAGACATGCGTCCACGTTCCTTTCTACCGCCACGAGAATCTGCATGCGGCTCAACCTCGTCTCCCTCGTCGGCGTCATCTCCCTCAAAGAATCGACTTCCGCGTGCGCTGGGAGGAGGGCTTTGCATCTCGAGGGGGAACCAACTGCGTGGGTAGACCGAGTTGCTCTTGCGGAAAGAATCCGGGATTTCCTTGATGTCGACAGTATCAAGAGTCACTCGTACGCGAACTCGTCCGCCCTTTCCTGGATCATCCACAAGGATGAACTTTCTCTTCTTAGCCTCGGGAATATCACCAAAGAGTGACAGTCGTTCTTCCTCATCTAGCTCTGCCTTGCCATGAGATCGCGACGATGATGCGGGGATTGGTGCACCTTGAGACGAGTGTTGACCATATACTGAAGGTGCCATTGAGGAACCGCTGGCATTTGGATTTGGAGGGTAAGAACCGGGCTGGCCTGGGTAAGCGTGAGCTTGTCGACCATCATCAGAATTTGCCGGAGCACCATTAGGAGCTTGATGATGATGGTGGTGTTGTTCATCAGCAGAATATTCATCGTCACCTAATTACGAAGGTTCATGTTAGCCTCTCTCACTTCAATAGATATACGCGAACAAGTACGATGCAAAAAATATAGTGATCAGAAAAGGATGGGAAGCAGTACAGCAGTGCCAGGACATGATGTGTAGGGTATTGGGTGACGCCAGGCAAGCAACCAAAGTGCGATATGTATTATACAGGAGAAGCCACAAGTGCTCTTAGACATAAACAAATTGAATTCCAAATTTCCCCCCGTTCAACAGGTATTTTCGCACAAAGGTATCATAACACGATAATAATATAATCACAGAACAACATCACATCTGGTGAAACATACCGACTTCATCTCCTCCTTGAGTACTTCCGTCGGGATGGGCGTGGTGGTGGTGGAGTTGTGAGCCTCCCATGCCACTGGTCATGCTAGGCTTGGGCATGCTCTGTTGCGCCGCGCTGCCAGGACCCATGTTGCCGCTTGGTGGCATCCCAGCTGGACCGCCACTAGGGCCTGCCATGTGAGGAGCATGAGTTGCATTCTGAACAGCCTTGCGGTTGTTAATCTTGGCCATTCGCCGAACTCGTCGACTCCGCAGGCGTGGATCTTGGTTACTGTTTCTCCAGCTGTCTACTGCACGTTGAATCAAGCCTCGCTTTCCGCGGAGGCAGGGGTTCAATTCTGCCAACGCCCAACCGACTGTGTTACACTCAGTCTCGTAGACCAGGCGGTTGCCTCGGTATTGATCCTTACTGCAGCAAGCACGCGGGTACACACAGTTCTCAGTCTTAAACTCGGAGCCCAATGTATCGACATTTACAGATTCGACGTCGCATCGAATGGTGTATTCCATCTTGACACGATCGCGAGAATATTCAAATGCAATCCATTGCACACCGTTGTTATCTTGGCGCACGACCAATGGCGTGGTGGCAGGAATTGGGCCAGGTGCAGCGTTGGGGTTGACACCGCTTGCGCCAGGAACGTTATTCTGTTGCATTTGCGCGCCGTTGGTTGGGTGTTGAGGAGGCCCTAGAGGCGCTGCTGGTTGACGGTTCATCTGAGGAACATGCGGCTCCATTTTGGTCCTTGGGCTTCCAGTAATGGCCTGCTGTGGGTGCTGGTTGCCATGCTGCGGTTGCTGGTGCATTTGGTGTTGGCTAGGAGTTTGAGACATTAACAGATTTGGCTGAGATGTCATTGCCGCATGCTGCTGCTGTTGTTGTTGTTGGTGCTGTTGGGGGTGCGGTGCGCCATATGGAGAATTGCCCTGAGGTGCCATGGGCGGTGGGTATTGTTGCTGCTGGGGACCGCCATAGTACATCTGGGGATTTTGTTGAAGTTGTGTGGTTGGCGCGCCATACATGTTGTGTCGCTGATCGTGTGCACTTGGAGATGCGACTGATGCTGGAGAATTCGATTGTGGAGTATGATAGGAGATGGGAGGATATGGGCGCGACATTTGAGCGGCGGCCATGATATCAGGGGTTTCCGGTGCTGTATATGGTTAGCGAACAACGTTCCGGTCCTCAAACCACCATGGATTGACTCACGAGCTGAAGAATAGGTACCTGACGCTGGGGTGCTGTACGGGCTTGGATGGGCAGGATAGTAGGATACGTCCTGGGGATGTTGTCCACCGGGTCCTGGAGCACTTTGCTGGGCGTATTGTGGTAAGCCGTGGGCAGGAGGATACGGGTTGGAATGTTGGGCTTGAGAGGGAGGAGCTTGTTGCTGCTGATGGTGTTGTTGATGTACAATGCTCGAGGGTCTCGGCTGTTGAAGATGATGGGGAGGAGGACCCTGTTGCGAATGGTGGGGATGATGCTGCATAGGAGACATCTATTAGCAATATGACTCTTGCGCGATAAAAATGTAACGGCGCAAGCTAAGAATCATGAAGGGGAGAATCAAGTCGCGTCGCGATGTTTATTATGACACTCGAAATGTAGGAGAATGATGGTGGATCCTTGCGACGAGGGTAGATTGGAGAGACGCGGTCCCTGGAGTCCGATCTTCTACTTTTGAACAATGCGCCTTGCGCACCGGAGAAAGCAGCACCCTTCTGGAAATGCGGCAGGACTGGGGTGAATTCAAAAAGACAAGGAAAGAGTGCGAGGGTGTACCTCCGGATTCGAGTTGGATGCCTTGTTTTCCTACGAAATCTTCAGACGATGGATCGCAGGCCAAGGGACAAGGCAATATCCGAGTTTTTGCGATGCTGGCCAGGGGCCTCGCGCTTTTGACTGAACCGGATACGCCAACGGCCAGGGAGCAAAGAAACACAGACAACAGAGCCCGGAGAATAATAGAGTAGAGGATCAAACAAGATTGATCAGAGCGAGGATAAAAATAGGTGCTGAGTGGGGGGATATGTGAGAGAGGAACAAGAGATGTGAGGCGGCGGAGAGTGGTTATTATGACCAGGGAGGGGGGTGACAGAGTGGAGGCGACGATTTGGATGGTCGTGGGTGGCGGAAGAGAGGCGATGGATAGCCAATTCGAGCAAGTTACGGTTTTTTGTTTAGGGCTGGTTAATTTATGGACAATGCGAAAGGCTCTCCGAGCAGAAGGTTGGAAAAAGGCCGATTACGACTTGGAAGAAACTGCATAAAAGTCCCGTCGCGTTCTTCAGGGGGCTGCTGAGGGGAGGATTCGCGAATAGGATGCGATGCTGTTGCTGAACAGGACCCCGTCGAGATTAAAGAACTCAGGGGAACCGATGCCTGTCCTGTCGAGTTGAGAGCTGGTGAGGGTGGGACAACAACGCATGGCATGGAAGACAAGGTTGCTAGGTATCGCATAATGTGGACAACGAGGCCGGGCAGCAGGGGGGACCCAATGAAATATAGCTGGAGGGACCAGGTTGCGGCCGAGCGGGGCCTCTTGAATTGGAAGAGTGGAACGGCGAAGAAATTAACTGACTAGCCAATTCAGGACTAACACCGTGAAGGCCTGATGACCTGGAGCAAGGGTCGAGTCGCCGTAGGTTTTGACTGAAAAGGATGGATCCCGCTGTGTTCCCAGCATGTCCAAGGACCAAGACTCAAGGGGAACGGAGGCGCGGATGTGTGTGTGTGGCCCAGCAAGAGGAGGGTGTGGATACTCGTCTGCCACTGGTTGGGGAACAGCGCGGGTGTTTTTAGTAGCAAGATGACGCGGTGACGATGGGTGGAAGATGCACAAAAGCGGCCATCGAAGCACTATGTCCCAGAGGGCGTAGATGCGGCGCCATTTCCACCTTGGCAAGCCACCACCACCAGCGACTCGATGGGTAGATTGTATTCAGTACTCCAATCTCGGACTCCTGGCTCGCTGCCTTTGCCTCTACCATTCGCACCGTAAACAATTGTCCTCGGTATCGGTGGGTTTAGACATGATGTGATGCCCAAAAGCGTAATCAACAGCTCCAAACCAAACCCGTATCTCGGAGATCGTCGTGCAAACGGCGTGTTGGATGGGAAAGAATCGTGCTGCCTGCGTTGCGTAGAATCCGTACACACGACGGCGACGCATTGCAAGACCGACGCACAACTGAATCATGAGCAGTCCGGCGTCGAACAGCAGCTCCAGTAGTGATTTAGTGCTCAGAGTCGTGCTTCAATGCTCCATTTCAGTCACTCCAGTTGAGTGCTCCAGCGCCTGTCCTCCTCTACAGGCAACACATGCACCCCCAAAGCGACCGCTGAAAAATCCACAGAGTGCACCGCCAAATGCACCCACCCTGTTGTCTCTCCATGCTGCTGTAAGCGAGACCTTGCTCGGTTCCATCCCCCAGGTCGGTGCAGGCCACGGTTTGGGCCCTGGACGCCGCACCGCGTGGGATTGGGCAGCAAAGCAAAGCCCTTGTCTCACCCGCCTCGACCCTGATCCAGGGTGAAACGAGTCGACGAACGTTCCTCAGCCTGTCAAAGTCGAATCGAGGCCCCAGAATCCCGTGATCTGATAGAAATGTATGCGCCGAAGCCACATCTGCGTGCCCCACCGAACACGCTACTCGGCTCCAATTGAACAGAAGAAGAGCAGCTTGCGAGGTGGGAAAACCTTGAGTTGTGGTGAGGCAATAATGACCGTGTCGCCAAAGAGAGTCCTCGTACAATCGCGAGGGAGAAAGTCCGACGCAATGTTCAGAAAAACAAGATAGAAAGATTCGACAATGTGCGCACAAAAAGGGAAATTGAACTTACGTGATCACCAGCGACGGCCACCCCGGGCTCCTCTTTGTATCCTCCGCTCTGACGGTGAGCCATCTCTGAGGCCTGTCCTGCGCGTCTGTTAGCCCACCTTGTCTACCAGAGACCCTCCAGCCACATTGCCGTTGAGAATCCTGCAAGCACATCGACAAGCCTGCCGGCACGAGGGACCTTCATGCCCTTGCCTTGCAACATCTGTGCGCATTTACGAGGGTAATGATGGGGGAAACTGCCGTCTCAACTCACTACTCGGAAAAGGTACAATAAGTGTATTCGGCCCAATTACGCTCCAACGAGGTTTGATATGTTGGGCTTCTTGAGACCAAGTGAGACGCGTGAATATCAGACCCCTAACTCAAAATTAGCCACTTCTGGAAAATGTTGGTGACATCGCAAAATATGCGATCGTCGAAACGCATGATGCGCACCGAGCGACCAAAATAGAACGGAATCCAGATGATTTCCAACCCCGGGGTCGATCGGTCAGTGGAAACACAGGGGCCGACGCTGAAATTGAGGAGATGAATCGATGCAGTTGCTGCACGGAAAGCATGGAAACATCTTCTCGAATTTCTTTTCTTGGGTCGAGACACCACTTTGAAGCTGCCATATCCCCGATTGCGAGCCCCGGGATGACCCATTCCGAGTCTCTCAGTGATTTGCAGTCTCGAGATAAATGTGTCCAACGGTCGGGGATGCTGGCAGGTTCGGAGTGGTACAAAATTGGGACGGTGCAACCTTCTGTGGTTGAAAATGTAATCTGGAACCGACACTTGCCCCATGAATCGAAAAGAATTAAGGTTATCTGATCAAGTTCGGAGAAATCGAGCGCTCACACTACTCGGTATCCCAAACTTGGGCAAATAATGACAGATTCCCTCGACGTTGGTCGATAAGTGCTGGGGTCGGGTACACAGCAGCCAACAGCGGTCTTCAGCGTTACCCAAATGGACCTGCGGGCGTCTTCCAGAGAAGAGTCCACGTTTTGGCCACTGCGATCCTGACGAACTGGGAACACCAAGACAAACGAAAAATAAGGATAAACTTACTTTCTGGGGAAATGTCAAATTGTGTCTGAAGTGCCTTGCCGTTGTTATCCGTACTTCGACCTATTATTTCTCGCGTCAGTTTCGTGTTGCCAGATGATAAGATAGATAGTAGGCATCGTGCAGACGGGCCCCTACTAGTTCTTGCGCACGCAGAGGGAAGTTGCATACAAAAAGCGCTGGATGACCTCGAGTGCAGTGCAAGTGCAGCAGATGGTGTGCAGAAGAATGACGTAACGCAACTTGGGACGAGGCTGAAGAGAAGCTGGGAAATTCCACGAAGAAAAACGTCTGTAGAGAAGAACCAGGTATTTGAGAGGGTGGTGGTCGAGGGGCTTGGAGACATAATATACAGGCATGGGTGGTTGATGGGCATGCTGCCAGGGCAGGACACCCTCAACCACGCCAAGGAGTGCAGGCTTCGGCACATTAATTAAGGAGATGAGGAGGGTTGCGAGTAGAACAGGGGATGAAGCTGGTCATGCAGCAAGCCTTGGGTGTGGATGACACCTCGCTTACACGATGAGGACCATCCGCCCAGTGGGGAGAACACAAGGGTAATCAAGCGTCATTCACGGCATGTCGACAGATATCTCTGCTGCACAAGAAAGGATGGGATACAAGGAAAGAAGGAGGGACTAGGTCCTGAACATACCTAGTACTAGATCTTAGATCGATGTCCTAGCTTCTGTAGCTAGGCGGTACCAGCAAAGGTTGGTCGGTTCGACAGGATTTGAAGTAGAGTTCTGTGACTCAGCTTTTCCTCGGCCTGTATTTCGTCTCGAGGTATGGCAGAAAGTTTCTCTAGAAATTCACTGGACGGCAAAGAACAGCGCGCAGAGGGTGCGTGATCAACAAATTGTTCCGTTTATGCGGAAGATGTCGAACTGAACGATGCCAGTGTTACGAGGGGTGAGATAGTCCGCAGATAGAGTGAAGGTTGTACGGGACTGTTGCAGAACTGTAGCAGGCACTCCCTCTTGATTGCAGAGCCTGTGAGGCCTTCTCGAAAACCCTCTACCCGGTTGATGTCACGATTATCGAGTCCCGAGTCCAGATGATCGGATCGAAAAGAGTTCGACTAGCGCGTCGTCGGCGTCGAAACCAAGTTCGGGGGGCTTGTCGGGGTCTTCGCGGCACAGATGCCGCTGGGGAACGTGAAAGGTAAGGTTGTATGTATGTACGAGTAGGCAGAAGGGTACCAGCAGTCGGAACGAGAGCTGGAATTATCGAGTCTGGGTGATACACAAGTCAGCGCCAGGTTCAGACTCCAATTTAAAGCACCCTCTCAGCTCGCCTGCTCTTGCGTGAGCATGATGTGCGTGGGACTTTGCGCAGACCGAAGACTGGTAGGGCTGATACGGAATTGGGTTGCTGCCACGACGGAGCCACGATATGTTTTCTCGCTCAGATCTCTCTGTAGTAGTCGCGTTCCTCATGGCTAGAGGATCGGCACGTTGGGTGGTGGTACTTGTGTGGTGGTAGTGCCAGTGCCAGTGCCAGGATGGATCGCGTAGACAGAGAGGTCTGGTATGAGATTTGCCATCAGGTACAGGTCTACTCCGTCGTGGCTGGGCGCTCAGACGCGGTGTTCGTGAGACTGTGGTGGAGGAGGCGAAGATTCCGCTGCCACTGTCATGGCCACCAGCGACCGAGGACCATGGGAAATCAGAGAGAGGGAATGTTACCTTTGATGCAGCAGAGAGCCGTAGAGATCTGACTCAAGGTTAGATGAAAGGGGATGAGGATGCGATGGTAGATGCGATGCGGTGGTCGTCGTGGTGGTGGAGGAGAGGTGGATGGAAGTTGAGTTGGTGCAGGTGTTGATTCTGAAAAGTCGAAGGTCGAAGGTCAGTTGCGTCTTTGCTCTTAAACGTAGCCGAGTGAGAGTGAATTTTTATTGACGGCTACGGACCAACAGGAGTTCCCAATTTTCGTAATGCGCCCACGCTTTTGCCGGCGGCGATAATGGATTTTAATATCTAATCAAAGGCACGTGTGCAAGCCGTGAAGCGGCTCTTGTCACACAAGTTGGTTGGAGAGCAATGCGACGACGGTATCACACCACGATATCACCCTCGAAGTGTCGCTGTCGCTGTGCGGGAATAGCTTCAAGAAATTAGGACCATGTCAATTCTGGTCGTTCAACGGTCGCATGCGGTCGCGGTTGCGGTGCGGGTAGCTTAGCTTAGCGGGCGGTCGGCAAGGATAGGGGGTTCTGCTTTGCACCCACTGTCAATCCTTGTGCTGAGCCAGGTTGGTGAATGCTGCTGATGCGCTGCCTCTGCTGGCTAGGTGGCTAGGTAGCTAGGTAGCTAGGTAGCTGGGCTGTGGATTTGCTGGAACAATACAGCAGAGAGGGAGGGCTGAAGAGGCGGCCAAAAGCTTGATTGGGGGGGAGGGTCAGAGTGAAGAGAGGGTACGAGTACTGACTGGGCTTGCCCTGGCTCTGGCTCTGGCTCTGGCTCGCCTAGCAGTTTTGAGGGGTGTAGATGGGACGGGATGGGATGTACGAAGTACAGATCCCGTGGGGAAGTATCCGTAAAGCCTTGGGGATCTTGCAGGCGATGGATGCCACGATGGAAGCCAGCAGGAACCGATTGTCACAATACTACTTCTATAAAGTATAATGAAGGGGGAGAAGGGGAAGGGAAGGGGCCCTGGACTCGACCGTTGCGTTGGTCGTGAACGGGTGCAGTTGCATTCCACCAGTCCAACGGGTTACGGGCAGGCACAAGGACAAGGAAGAGCTGCTGGCTGGCACTGGACTACCGAGGAGGGGCAAGAGCAAGTAAGGAGTAAGGAGTAAGGGCCTGGAGAGCGGATGAACTTCGAGAAGTCTCGAGGAATCTTTGCTGCTGAAGAACGAATCCTTCGTGAGACAAGACACGCGGAGAACAAGTGCTGGTGATGTCAGGGACCAGCTTACAATGGCACTATGGCACTATGGCACTATGACTGGCAATTCACAACGGAACGGCACTTCACAACTCCAAACCTCAACAGGGGGCGGAAACGCAAACACTTAAAAAGGGGGGACGAAAGGGGCAGCGGCAGTGGCAGCCATGTTTACACTTAGCCTGTCTCTTCTCGCTTGTTTCGTGCTTGCGCTTGTACGAGTATCATTCTATATATACAGTAATGTTTACTTGATAGAAAGTTACAGTAATGTTTACTTGATAGAAAGTTACAGTAATGTTTACTTGATAGACTTTCTGCCCTCATAAACATCAGACTCCCTATGCAATATAATACGGGGTCTCCGTCCAGACTGTATTGAATTTACCAAGTATCACTCTTGGAGATTCAGCGTTAATCCAACATCATTTGCGGCTTGTTTCAGTCTGCGTTTCTCTCTCTCGTCTCCTGCTACTCCTCCTCTCCTCGTCTTTTCGCTCCTTTGAAGGGGCTGCAATTTCCTCTCCTCTCCTCTCCCTCCCCTTTTTACCGAGTTTTCATCTCTCTCCTCAACTGCAAGTCCAGGCTAGTACTGTCACCACCACCTCAAGCGCAATAGTCATGAGAAAAATCACCGACTTCTCTATCATATGAAGATGAACATGAAATCAGATCTGGCCCCCGTGCTCGTTCTCCTCAGAGATGGATATTGCTGCGTTACATCACCACATCATTGGCTTGCT